AGATTGTTGTGTAGGAGGCATATCATGATAGTAGGAATGAATGTTCTTTTAAAGCATAATTAAAAAACCCAGCTTGAAGAATTTCTGTATGTTAACAAAATTCAAAGACTTTCTTTACTCATGTGGAAGAGCCTCAGCTTTGATTAACCCTTTCCATGCTCCTCTTTGGGGAGGGGGGATCGTTTCCCAGACCATCAAATGCAAAAGCATTTGAGGAATGGATATCCAGCACTATTTCTAGAGAAATCAGTAGGCACCCTTGAAGGAATCTGAGGACATTTGAGATTTGTGTAAAAGCCCTGGATGCTAAAAATGTGTCTTAATATGAAAAACATTCCAAGTGCATACTACAGAATAGCCCGAGGTTTCAAGAAGGGGCAAACTTAGAGATTAAATCACATTTTCCCTGTGGAATTTAGTTTATCCTCTTTCATTTGTACTTTCTTCATTTATAAAATCAAGATAAAACTATTTAGAATTATTTGCTCGATAGAGTTATTGTAAAATATAATAAGATGTCTCTGGAAGGCTTAGCAAGATATCTGATACAAACAACATACTTAATGAGATCTTACTTAATAAGGTAGAGTCAATGTGACTTCTCTCCCCTCCCCTCTGTCATTTGTGGGTGAAAGTTGCGCAGGGAAAGATGGGATATAGCAAAATAGAGCCCCAAGAGGAGATGAAATTGATGGAGCAGTACAAACTTTAGACTGTGGCCTTTTGGGAAAGTTTGTCCATAGGTATATAGTGACAACCACAGAGCGTGCAACAGGACCCTTGTTTGCCTGCTCACCCATTTCCTTGGGTCCCTTTTCTTAAGAACAGCTTCCTGAAGCTTTTTAATTTTTTTCTCCATATAAGTGTGTTCCTTAATTGCCACAGATGAAAGGGCCAGGGGTCAGCTGGCATAGAAGGAGTCAGTCCACTGGCTGGGGTAACACAATTGGCCTTTTCTCTCCTGAGAGAGGCTGATAGGATGAACATTAAATACTTCACAGAGCACCTGGGTTTAATAAGGGTTCAGTAATTAAATAGACATCATTTCTTAGGTATCTACCCTTCAATGTAAGGTATTTTTGTCTTCCAGTGTCTGTAACCTGTAGAGTTGGTAGCATCCTAATAGGCAGTTCATGGGAGAATTTTCCTCAGTGTTTGGAGTGACAGCTGAAACCAAGAGAAGGATGACATTTCTATCTATATCCCTTTTATACCGGGGACATTGCTGAATAAAGCATGCATTAAACAGGTTCCTCTGGAAAAATCTAACAATCCGCATGCTAGAAATGTTAATGCCACTATCCCAGACTAGGTAGATTCAGGCCTAGGATTTCTTATTTTTAACAAGTCTAACAGTGGAGGTCAAATAACATTTCTAACCACACCTCTTCCTCAGGAGCTCCTCATTTCTCAGGAGTCTACATTTTCAGCCTCACAAATGGCTGTGCTTCCTTACTCTATCTTTAACGTGTTCTAGTCATAAAATGTAAAAAAATGTATTTGGAAAGGATTATTATCATTTTTCTTATTAAGAGTCACTATAGAAGGTAAATTCTCCTGAAATTTTGAGGATCTCCAAGGTAGACAAGGCTTTCCTTAATAAACAACACACCATCCACCCTTTCCTATTAATCTAACTATCAATCAGTCTGTTGAAGACAGAATTTTCACCCACATTTCCTCTTTCACAGTATTTATTTGCTTTCTCCTCTCAACATCTGTATCATGGAACTATTATTTCCTTTTGTCTCTTTTCGGTATAGTCCTGAAGGTCATTTACATTTTTTCCTTTATACTTTTCATCCTAATCAATTTTCTTAGCTGAATGAACAGTATTTATTATTTTAATGGCAGAATAGGAGCAGTCTCCTCCTCTTCTCTTCCCTATCTACCACCCCCTGCTCTTCTCTTCCTTTTTCTTTTCTAAAACAGCAAGTCTTCCTGGTTTCCCTTGTTAGCTGTTGTGTGATTAATGTACCTTAGAGACTCTGTAAAGTTTTATACATGCTGAAAGATTCTGCAACATTTTGGGGATACCAGTAAGGGCTTAGGGCAAACTACCTTTCTTCCAGGGCTATGTACCAAGCAGAAGAGTTACTTAGTCACAACACAGCAACCCCTACAACATTGTCCCTTAATTTGCACACACATGCACATACAAATCCACACATACACAATCTGCAAGCAGCAAAGTATAATCCAGGTTTCTTTTGAAAAGGAGTAACCAGTTCAAATGCACAGCTGGGTATGCCAGAAAACACATAATTAAACAAATTGGATTTAAGAGTTACGTAAGGCCTCTACTGAGCCAGTGAATGAGAAGCTGAATGAAACGTTGTGATTGCTGCTCTGGTGCCTGGGAAGAACAGAATATGTGGATATGTGTGTTTGGGACAAATAGAAGGCAATTACTGAGAGTTATGGAGCGTAGTTGGCATTCTATGAGAGTTAGACTATAGAATGGTTCACAGTGGGCTGTACTGGGAGATAAAATGTTCTCCAGGGCTAAAAGGGGGGCATTTGTTAGAAGACATGTGACTTAAAGGGAAAAAAAAGGTAAATTCTATCAGAGTTTTGTTTTGTAAAAGATAAAGGGAAGTAGAAAAAATATGTGTCATATAATTTTAATTATGCATTATTCAATTTTTCTACAGACTTATAAAGTATTTGAGAATTTTAAAGTTCACTTTACAAGCCAGTAGAAAAATGCGATCGAGAATATATTATATATTTTAACCTCCACTTTAAAAGTGGACTTTTACAGCCAGGACAGCTATACTATTATATAACAAGCAAATTCCATGGTTTCAGAATTTTTCACTAAGAATTCTCAAATCGTTGACTAAATGTTGAAGACATTCTCCCTCATAGAATTAAGAAGCTAAAACGAAATTACTACTTTTTCCTATTTGCAAATAATCTTGTTTGCAAATTTGTCTCAAGGCAACTGAATGAAACATAGTCTTCTCTCACACAAATCTTCTTGCAATAAATGAGACGAGAAAGCACTTGTCTGAAAGAGTTCTATTTTCTTAGAGAGAATATTCTGTATTAATTGACATAAGTACCTATTAGTTTCCATGACACCAGTGCTTAAGGTATTTGGGGGTTTGTCTCTCAGTGTACAATAAACTATGTATCTATAAAATCTTTGCCAATGGTAATAACTTCTATTGATGCTGCCTAACCATTAAAATCTCTTAGCAATCTCATATTTGATTTGTATAGTTTACTAAAAAATGTTTTGAACACTCTTAATTTTCAAAGCGCATGCCAGAGAAAGTTGTAAATTAAAAACAACAACAGAATTTCTTCCTTTAAGCTCAGAACTTAGTGAGAAAGATGGAAATGAATATGGTGTGTTGTCGTCATGAATTTGGTGGGTATGCATCAGCATTTTCTCTCTTGTTTTAATGATTAAATTATTTTGAAGGGGTGGGTTGAAGGAGGGTGAATATGTTGAAGAGATCACACAGATCAAGGTGTATTGTATACATAAACTGCTTTGTTAAATGGCAAAAAAATTCAATATGTATCCTACAAAATTAAGAAAAGTAAGGGAAGGAGTGAGTGGCCAGGGTTGGATGAGATGAAAGGAATAACAATAATCAAGACGCACTGTATTCATAACCTGCTTTGTTGAATGGCAACTCCTTTGTACAAATCTTCAATATAATATTTTTTTAAAAGATGCATTGTATTCATAAAAATTACTTTGAAGAGGTAATTTTTTTTTGTCAGTCGTGGGACTTGAACTCTGGGCCTGGGCACTATCCCTCAGCTCTTCAGCTCAAGGCTAGTGCTCTACCACTTGAGCCACAGCATCATTTCCAACTTTTTCTGCTTATGTGGTGCTGAGGAATCGAACCCAGGGTTTCATGCATACAAGGCAAGCATTCTACCACTGAGCCACCTTTTCAGCCCTTAAGTAGATTCTTATGTTTGACAATCCATTAAATTCTTCTCAACAGTTGTTCATTGAATCATCCAATTGCAAATGTCATGTTTGGAAAAGAAACCCTTATCTTCATTTATTTATATGTGGGAAAACCTTTGGAAATGTATTTTCTAGGAGTATGGAAATAATTTAAGGTAAATAATACCTGGCAGAAGAATAACAAAAGTGATTATAGTGTGATAGGTCCACTTTCTTTCTTTTCTTTTTTTTTTTTTTTGGCGGTTGTGGGGCTTGAACTCTGGGCCTGGGCGCTGTCCCTCAGCTCTTCAGCTCAAGGCGAGCGCTCTACCACTTGAGCTACAGCACCACTTCCGGTTTTCTAGTGGTTTATTGGAGATAGGAGTCTCACGGTCTCTCCTGCCTGGGCTGGCTTTGAACCCCGATCCTCAGATCTCAGCCTCCTGAGTAGCTAGGATTACAGGCGTGAGCCACCAGCGCCCGGCTAGCTCCACTTTCTAATGTAAAATTCTTTCTGAGAAAGCAATGGTTGTCTCACACATTTTAAAGACTTTCAAAAATGCCAGAGAGGGCATTTTTTCCCCATTGCTCAGTGAACATCTATTGAATTAAGATACTTCAATATTCTTCCCTAGGCAACAACCATCACCTCTTCCTTCGTTCCAATGGTAGTCTACAGAGAATTACCTTAAATAAAATACATTCATTTGGTTTGTTTATTAATAACTTTGTGATAGTACATCTTATTTCAGGATTAATTGAGGAACAGAACAAATCTAAAGAATAAAAGAGACAACTCTTTGGATTAACAGTCTTTTATAATTATAACCTCCCCCCCCCCCCCCCCCCATAGTTCATTCCTTGGTGTACTCTCTGCTTTAGTTCCTACCAACAGGAGTGATGCCAGAAATACGTGAATACTTTCTGTTGTGTTAAGACTAAAGAGCTGCTAGTAAAACTTTCTCCAAACTTGAGTATTCATAGACAGAATCTCTGGTTTGGAAAACCAAATTCAATGTTGATCTTGTCAGACAGAGTAGAACTAAGTACAAAAACACACACAAGTAAGAAAGTAGAGACTTACTGTATCACGTTGCCTGTTATCTTTCCCTGATATTATCAAGAAGTAGTTCCATGTCAATAGTAACAACAAAACCAGTGGTATCATGTAGAGCTCAAAGTTCCAGACAACAAAGAGAAAGAGCTGAGGAGAGGGGAAAGAGAAAGAGATGAGTCAACTCTGAATTTCATTAGACAGGCTCTCTTATTCATACTCTACTTCAAAACCCACAAAACTAAATGCTTCAAATCTGGAAGATTTATCTTGAAAACGAATCCTTGAGAACTTAAGTATTTTCTAAAAGCACAACTGACCCCTGGAAACTAGTGTGAAGATTTTACTTTGTTTAATTTCTATTAAGGAAGAAACCCTGCTATCATTACATTGTCAAAGAGGTAATTTTAATTTTTCTCCACCACTGCAATTATTGTTAGGTTAGACAAAGTTTTTTTTTTTTTTTTTTAAAGCAACAAAATGTGCTTCCTTTGCATTGTCAGAATAGCCTGGTCTATCTGCCTTAATGACAAAGAATGAATCACTATTAAACATCAAGGATTTCCTTCTTCTTTTAATCTCACTTGGATAACACAATGAACACATTATAATAGGCAGACAAAAATGCTAAGTCTACAGCAGAGAGCCCCAAAGATTTCACAATATGAGGACAAAAAGAAAACAACCCTGCCACCAACAAGTATAAAAAAAGTCTGTCTTATATTCAGTATTACATACAAATCAAGCAACTATGAAACACAAACATAATTCTGTCAAATACAAATTTAAGATGCCTATGAACATCATTTATTCCTCTAAGTATATTAACTATTTCTGTGGTAAAACACAAATATCAGTCTATGAGCACAGGGTGGCAGATGGAGCCATTCTAAAAGCATTTACATGGTAAAGCAAAGGACTTAAGATGTAAAATGTGACCCCCTCCCCCCCCACCAGACGTAATACTGGACTGATAATCTATTTTTCTTGGGCCTGTGGCTTCTGCTGTCAGACTCAGGTAATGTTAAGTCAGGTGGATTATAAGAGCTGGATTCTACACCCGACTCTAAGAGTAACCTTCTACAATATCCTATCTTTAATTGCTTCCTCTATATTATGGAAACAATGGAAGTATCACTTCATAGTTGTGGTAACAAAATAGCTAAATGTAGTTTAACTACATTACGATATTACCAGTAGCCAGTAAGGTAATGAACAAAACAAAAAGAAACACCAAAGTTTTTTATGATGCCAATGTTATTGAACATTAATTATTGCCTATGATCCTCAAAATCTAATGTTAAAAATCTGAAATTTATCAGCCCACCAAGATTTAGATGAACAGTAGCTCAACTGTGAATTTCTGCTAGCTAGCTAGGAGAACATAAGTATCTTACATTTGACAGGTCAGGAGAGAAGGGTCCTAAGGATAAATATGTCAGGCAATGTTAGCAATCTACAGCCTTCTCAGAAAATCTCAATCAAGCCTGGAGGCTACTCAAGTAGCAGAGAAAATTACACTGTGGAGTGCCAGAGAGACTCTTTGATTAAGGGACAGAGAGATAGTTCTGGGATTTAGGAAGTCACCTGGCCTCAGTGTTTTCCTATCTAGACTGAGGTCTACAAACTTGATCATTTCTAACATCACTACTCTACTAAAATGGCTTCATGACATTACTGTACCATTTGATATTTTAACATTAAAATTTGAGAAATGTGAATTTTACTGAATTTTTCTGATATTCATCATTCTAAATGGATACCAAAGAGTATAAAGAATGGTTTAGTAAACCAAGAAATGAATTTTGGACAGAAATACATAGAAACAACTAAGTTCCTGAAAAAAAGTTCTAATTAATGCAATTTGTGAAAAAGAAAATATTTTCCTTATTAGTTACATAATAATTATATAAATTAGTGATGATTATGATAATTAACATGTATTTTTATAAAGATACTTTTCAAAAATGGGAGAAAATGTAGGAGGGGTGGCACTGTTCAAAAAGAAATGTACTCATTACCTGTCTTATGTAACTGTAAACCCTCTGTACATCACCTTTACAATAAAAAAAATAAAAAATATATACTTTTTCAGGAAATGAGTTAAGGTAAATTTGATAGCATCAAAACATATAAGAATGTTTTGAGTCCATATAAGTTCTTTACACATTTATTTGTAATTAATTTATTTTAATCAATCACTAAAATGCATGCTCGTTAAGGGTAAAGACTTTTTTTGTACATTTTTTATTGTAAAAATGCTGTACAGAGGGGTTGCAGTTACACGAGCAAGGTAATGAGTACATTTCCTATTAAGCATTGTTGCCTCCTCTTTTGTTTTCCTCCTACCATCCCTTCCCTCCCACCTCCACAACTACCTCCCCTCCCATTTCCTCCCCTTCCCCCACAAGTTGTAAAGTTTGTTTTCAACATAGTGTTTTGTATATATCATTGTTACAATGGGTCAACCTGTATCTTTATTTAAGCATTTTGTTTTTCCCTTCCTCTCCCTGAATTAGAGAAGTATATATACAAGATGCAGTGCACCAACATCAAATACAGTGAAAATAGGGGTTCCACCATGGGGGAGGAACATACAAAGAAACAAAAAAAATCACATGGTACATTATAATATGTTAGAAACAATAGCAAGAAAGAAAAAAGATATTTGGGGTTCATTTTGCTTAACATCATCTTATATGGTCACGTGTACATAGCTTTTGACCTTTTCTGCTTGCCCTACACATGTACTAGTTATTACAAATAAGGGAAGTCATGGGACCTATGTTTCTTTGGGCTTGGCTTACTTCACTTAATATAATTTTTTCCAAGCCTTTTCATTTCCTAACAAATGGGGTAATATCATTCTTTCTGATGGAGGCATAGAATTCCATTGTATGTGGAAGAATCTGCCATGCTCCTGGATTGGAAGGATCAACATCGTGAAAATGGCAAGGCTATCTACAAATTCGTTATACCTATCAATATTCCACCCTCATTCTTCAGTGAAATAGAAGGAGCAATCCAAACATTCATATAGAACAATAAAAGACCCCGAATAGCAAAAACGATCCTTACCACAAAAAACAGTGCTGGAGGAATATCAATACCAAATTTTAAACTCTACTACAAAGCCATAGTAATCAAAACAGCTTGGTACTGGCACACGAACAGACCTCAGGACCAATGGAATAGAACTGAAAACCCAGAAATGAACCCATAGACCTATAGCCATATAATCTTTGATAAGGGAGTTAAAAAAAATAGAATGGAAGAAAGACAGCTTCTTCAGTAAATGGTGCTGGCAAAATTGGTTAATCACCTGTAGAAAACTAAAGCTAGATCCTTACATATCACCCTGCACCAGAATCAACTCCAAATGGATCAAAGACCTTGGAGTCAGAGCAGACACTCTGAAAACATTACAGGACGGAATAGGAGAAACCATAGGTCTCCTTGGCACAGGCCAAAATTTTCTGAATAGAGACCCGGAAACACAACAAATCAAAGAAAGGTTGGACAAATGGGATTGCATGAAGCTGCAGAGCTTCTTCATGGCAAAAGACATAGCTTGCAAGATCAATAGAAAGCCCACGGATTGGGAGAAGATCTTCACTAGCCATACAACAGACAAGGGTTTCATATCTAAAATATACTCGAACTCAAAAAATTAAATCCCCCAACAACAAATCCTCAGACTTCTTTCTTGTTGCTTTTAGAGCTTAGAACAGTAGTTGGGGTATAATAAGTAATCAATAAATTTACTGTTCATTGGAATAAACACTGGATTCCAAAATCATTAAATAAAAGTTGATTAACTATTTATATTAGTAAAAGTAGTATAAAACCTCTCAAAAATAATTAAAAGAAATGAAAACAAAAACACCTGATTTCAGGAAACTGCTTGTAGAGTTATAATCTGAGATGCAATGAGCAAATTTCTCCTTCTAACAAGTAAGTCTTCTTTAGGTACTGCTTTCAGATTAGCTTCTCTTTCCATCTTGGCTATATACTCATGAATTGTTTTATGTATTAGGGTCTGATCATATTCTTTCCTTTTGGTCCTTCTCATATACTTGCATTTACTTGGTGTGTGTGTGTGTGTGTGTGTGTCTGTGTGTCTGTGTGTGTGTGTGTCTGTGTGTGTGTGTGTCTGTGTGTGTGTGTGTCTGTGTGTGAGTTAGTCCTGGGATTTGAACTCATAGCCTGTTGCTGTCCCAAAGCTTCTTTGGCTCAAGGATAGTATTCTACTATTTGAGCCACAGATCCACTTCTGGCTTTTATTATTGTTCAGTGGAGATGGGAGTCTCACAGACTTTCCTTGTCAGGTTGCCTTCAAATCACAACCCTCAGATCTCAGGCTTTTGAGTAGCTAGGATTATGGGTGTAAGCCACCAGCAGTCAGCCATTTTACTTGATTTTGTTGTGTTCTGCTCTGATAGTAGGACTTAGTTTATCCTACTGCTAAATATAACCAAGTGTAAGCATTTTTAAGTTGTTGAACAAATATAGTCTCCTTGTAAGGTCTACACAGTGGTGTTAGAAGCATCGTGCTACCCAAAATACACTTACTATATCCTTGCATTGGTGTCTGTTATAGCCCTAGAACTACACAGAAAACATTTTCTAGCTAATAAGCCTATTAGTAATCAAGATATCATCATATCTTTTTGACATAACTAGTTGCTTCAAGCAGCAGAAACAAGATCCAATTTCTGGGAATTTAGCCATCTTCTCACTACATCCAAATCAACATCCCAAAGGCTCTTTCAAAATATAGGACTCAGAACCAACACATTTTTCATGAATACCTGCGTGTTCATACACACTATCTACATGGTCTTCAAAAAATATTTCAGCAAAAACACAGAAAAGAGAAACAATGTAAAAAATGACACCAGCTTTTGGGGAAGCTCTAACAATAGGAAACAGTCTCCTATTACTTGTATAATTGAGCTTCCACAGTTGAAAGTACCAACAAAGGAAGGAAAAAGAAGGAGAAGGAAGGAAAAAAAGAAAAAAGGAGGAAGCATGGAAGGAACAACAGAGCTTTGAATAAGTTCTATTAAATAAAGCTCTATGAAATAAGTTCTATTACCTAGAGCACTTATGTTCATATATTTTAACACTCAAAAATGACAAAAACTCTT